TAAGACGGAGAATAGGATAGCAGATGAACAAGGAGGCTTTGGGAAAGGTAGGGGGTGTGTGGACCAGGTGTTACAGTAAACATATAAGTGAACAGTATTTAGATAAGGCTAAAGAGGTCTTTGTGGCATTTATGGTTTTGGGAAAAAGGCGTAGGGACAGGGTGGATAGGGGCCTATGTGGCAGATGTTGCAAGTGTATGGTGTAGGAGGTAGGTTACTGAAAGCAGTAAAGGGAGTTTTTACGAGGATAGTGAAGCTCAAGTTAGAGTATGTAGGAAAGAGGGAAATTTTTTTCCCAGTAAAGTAGGCCTTAGACAAGGAGTGTGATGTCACCGTGGTTGTTTAATATATTTATAGAGGGGGTTTTGTAAGAGAAGTAAATGCGAGGGTTGGCAAGAGGCGTGGAGTTAAAAGATAAAGAATCACACACAAAGTGGGAGTTGTCACAGCTGCTCTTTGCTGAGGGACACTGTGCTCTTGGGAGTTTCTGAAGAGAAGTTGCAGAGATTGGTGGATGAATTTGGTAGGGTGTGCAAAAGAAGAAAATTAAAGGTGAATACAGGAAAGAGTAAGGGTTATGAGGATAACAAAAAGATTAGGTGATGAAAGATTGAATATCAGATTGGAGGGAGAGGTATGGAGGAGGTGAACGTATTCAGATATTTGGGAGTGGACGTGTCAGCGGATGGGTCTATGAAAGATGAGGTGAATCATAGAATTGATGAGGGAAAAAGAGTGAGTGGTGCACTTTGGAGTCTGTGGAGACAAAGAACTTTGTCCTTGGAGCAAAGAGGGGAAAAGTATGAGAGTATAGTTTTACCAACGCTCTTAAAATGGGTTGTGAAGCGTGGGGGATGAATGTTGCAGCGAGGAGAAGGCTGGAGGCAGTGGAGATGTCATGTCTGAGGGCAATGTGTGGTGTGAATATAATGCAGAGAATTTCGTAGTTTGGAAGTTAGGAGGAGGTGCGGGATTACCAAAACTGTTGTCCAGAGGGCTGGGGGAAGGGTTGAGGTGGTTCGGACATGTAGAGAGAATGGAAGCGAAACAGAATGACTTCAAGAGTGTATCAGTCTGTAGTGGAAGGAAGGCGGGGTAGGGTCGGCCTAGGAAGGGGTTGGAGGGAGGGGGTAAAGGAGGTTTTGTGTGCGAGGGGGCTTGGACTTCCAGCAGGCATGCGTGAGCGTGTTTGATAGGAGTGAATGGAGACAAATGGTTTTTAATACTGACGTGCTGTTGGAGTGGGAGAAAAGTAACATTTATGAAGGGATTCGGGGAAACCGGCAGGCCGGACTTGAGTCCTGGAGAGGAAAGGGTACAGTGCCTGCACCCCTGAAGGGGGTGTTAATGTTGCAGTTTAAAAACTGTAGTGTAAAGCACCCTCTGGCAAGCCCAGTGATGGAGTGAAGATGGTGAAGTTTTTTTTTTGGGGCCACCCTGCCTTGGTGGAATCGGCCGGTGTGATAAAAAAAAAAAAAAAAAAAAAAAAAAAAAAGGTGAGTGGTGCGTTGAGGTATATGTGGAGTCAAAAAACGTTATCTATGGAGGCAAAGAAGGGAATGTATGAAAGTATAGTAGTACCAACACTCTTATATGGATGTGAAGCTTGGGTGGTAAATGCAGCAGCGAGGAGAACGGTTGGAGGCAGTGGAATGTCCTGTCTAAGGGCAATGGTGGTGTAAAAAATTATGCAGAAAATTCGGAGTGTGGAAATTAGGAAGGTGTGGAGTTAATAAAAGCATTAGTCAGAGGGCAAAAGAGGGGTTGTTGAGGTGGTTTGGTCATTTAGAGAGAATGGACAAAGTAGAAAAGACATGGAAAGCATATAAATCTATAGGGGAAGGAAAGGGTAGGGTCCCTCCTCGAAAGGGTTGGAAAGAGGGGTAAAGGAGGTTTTGTGGGGGAGGGGCTTGACTTCCAGCAAGCGTGCATGAGCGTGTTAGATAGGAGTGAATGGAGACGAATGATACTTGGGACCCCGACATCTGTTGGAGGTGAGCAGGGTAATATTTAGTTTAAAAGGGGTTCAGGGAAACCGGGTTTTTTTCATATAGTCAGGGCTTGAGTCCTGGAAATGGGAAGTACAATGCCTGCACTTTAAAGGAGGGGTTTGGGATATTGGCAGTTTGGAGGGATATGTTGTGTATCTCTATACGTATATGCTTCTAAACTGTTATATTCTGAGCACCTCTGCAAAAGCAGTGATAATGTGTGAGTGTGGTGAAAGTGTTGAATGATGATGAAAGTATTTTCTTTTTGGGGATTTTCTTTCTTTTTTTTTTTTGGGTCACCCTGCCTCGGTGGGAGACGACCAACTTGTTGGAAAAAAAAAAAAAAAAAAAAAAAAAAAGTCTGTTGAGTATACCTGGTAAAGTGTATGGTCGAGTTATTATTGAAAGAATTAAGAGTAACACGGAGAATAGGATAGCAGATGAACAAGGAGGCTTTAGGAAAGGTAGGGGGTGTGTGGACCAGGTGTTCACAGTGAAACATATAAGTGAACAGTATTTAGATAAGGCTAAAGAGGTTTTTGTGGCGATATGGATTTGGAAAAGGCATATGACAGGGTGGATAGGGGGGCAATGTGGCAGATGTTGCAGGTGTATGGTATAGGAGGTAGGTTACTGAAAACAGTGAAGAGTTTTTATGAGGATAGTGAGGCTTAAGTTAGAGTATGTAGGAAAGAGGGAGATTATTTCCCAGTAAAAGTAGGCCTTAGACAAGGATGTGTGATGTCACCGTGGTTGTTTAATATATTTATAGATGGGGTTGTAAGAGAAGTAAATGCGAGGGTCTTGGCAAGAGGCGTGGAGTTAAAAGATAAAGAATCACACATAAAGTGGGAGTTGTCGCAGTTGCTCTTTGCTGATGACACTGTTCTCTTGGGAGATTCTAAAGAGAAGTTGCAGAGGTTGGTGGATGAATTTGGTAGGGTATGCAAAAGAAGAAAATTAAAAGTGAATACAGGAAAGAGTAAGGTTATGAGGATAACAAAAAGATTAGGTGATGAAAGATTGGATATCAGACTGGAGGGACAGAGTATGGAGGAGGTGAATGTGTTCAGATATTTGGGAGTGGACGTGTCAGCGGATGGGTCTATGAAAGATGAGGCAAATCATAGAACTGATGAGGGGAAAAGAGTGAGCGGTGCACTTAGGAGTCTGTGGAGACAAAGAACTTTGTCTTTGGAGGCAAAGAGGGGAATGTACGAGAGTATAGTTTTACCAACGCTCTTATATGGATGTGAAGCATGGGTGATGAATGTTGCAGTGAGGAGAAGACTAGAGGCAGTGGAGATGTCATGTCTGAAGGCAATGTGTGGTGTGAATATAATGCAGAAAATTCGTAGTTTGGAAGTTAGGAGGAGGTGCAGGATTACCAAAACTGTTGTCCAGAGGGCTGAGGAAGGGTTGTTGAGGTGGTTCAGACATGTAGAGAGAATGGAGCAGAACAGAATGACTTCAAAGAGTGTATCAGTCTGTAGTGGAAGGAAGGCGGGGTAGGGGTCAGCCTAGGAAAGGTTGGAGGGAGGGGGTAAAGGAGGTTTTTTTGTGCGAGGGGCTTGGACTTCCAGCAGGCATGCGTGAACGTGTTTGATAGGAGTGAATGGAGACAAATGGTTTTTAATACTTGACATGCTGTTGGAGTGTGAGCAAAGTAACATTTATGAAGGGATTCAGGGAAACCGGCAGGCTGGACTTGAGTCCTGGAGATGGGAAGTACAGTGCCTGCACTCTGAAGGAGGGGTGTTAATGTTGCAGTTTAAAAACTGTAGTGTAAAGCACCCTTCTGGCAAGACAGTGATGGAGTGAATGATGGTGAAAGTTTTTCTTTTTCAGGCCACCCTGCCTTGGTGGGATTTGGCCAGTGTGTTAATAAAAAAAAATAATTTGAACATGATACAGAGAAGTACAAGGAATACAATTTTTAAAGTGCAACATGCCAAAGCCCCTTGTATGCAGAGAATTATGGGCAGGCTTAAAAATAACTTAAGATTAACTAAGCCATGATATATTCAGTGGTACAAAAATTATTGTAAAACAGATAACAATTTAGTACAAATGAGTATTACAAAGACAGGTCATATGGTCATTTACTGTGTTGCTGTGTAATCAGTAGAATGGAGTATTCTGTTAGGTAATGAAGTTAAATAGTAACAAAGTTTGATTGGGTCACAGGTTGACATTTATGAGATACAATAATGAGATACATATATGAGATACAGTATTTATTTAGTTGTGGGTGAGTAAGTGATTTTTGAGAAGAGAGATTGAATTTATAAACAGAGTGTTTCTTTTATATTCACAGGTAATGAATTCCAGATTTTAGGGCCTTTTATGTGCATTGAGTTTTTGCATAGCGTGAGATGGACACGAGGAACATCAAAGAGTGATCTGTGCCTTGTGTTATGGTCATGTGTTCTGTTGAGGTTGGTAAGGAGATGTCTGAGGGGAGGGTTTATGTCAGAGTTAAGTGTTCTATGTATGTAGTAGGTGCAGTAATAAGTATGGATGTTTTGTATTGTGAGTAGGTTTAGAGTTTTGAATATTGGTGGAGTGTGCTGTCTGTAGTGGGAATTTGTTTTCATTCTGACTGCAGCCTAAGATGTTTAGCCAATCCAAGTTTCACAACAAGGTTAATGATTAGCAGTCAAAGAATTTTGACAATTTTTATTCAAGTTTATACCAAAAATTTATAATATGCGAAATTAATGAAAAAATAAACGATCCAATTTGGGAAGCTCAAAAAATAATGTAATTTTTATGGACAATTTAGAAATTTAAAAAAAAATCCAAACTCTCTAAAATATAATTATCTAAAAAAAAGCTGTACAATCTATCCACTGATATTAATTTGTACCAAACTGAATCAAAATTGTATTAAATTTTTTACCTAAATTTTTATCTCAAAAGATGAATGGACAAATATAAAATGTGAAACATCTAACAATTTTTCTAGTTACAAATTGCAGAAAATTTGTAAATATATATTTGTTAACAAACACTGTTGACTGTAATAATAAATTTTCACATTTTGTCATCCATATTAATTTTCTTTTAATGATTTTTTGACATACCGTACTGAAAACTAGTTAAGGATTTTTGATCTTTATTAAGTGTAGTATGTCTCAATATTCATACTTAGATAGTAGGACATGATCCAGCATTAACATTACCAACAAAGGTAGTGTATGCTAAGGCTTCTAGTTCCTTATTGACTGTTACATTCCTTATGCAACCAACAAACCTCTCGCTGGTTGCTCCTCCACGGCGCTTCTGCACTAAAGGTTGTGATCCCAGGAACAGGGGGTTCTTAGTGTCTGTTGAAGTGGCCCCAATCTTGCCAGAGACTGGGTTGGTGGAAGTCCCATCAACTACAAGAATGGCAATGTTCTTGTTCTTGATCACTGGAAATAAATTTATAGAATGAAATAAACCATATCCAGTAACACTATATACAGTACATATGTAGATAAGTTTTAATCCTTTGGGGGTTTTGGCCGTACTAGTACGGCTTACGACCCAGGGTTTTTGACGTACTAGTACGCCTAAATTCTAGCGCCCTCAAATCTAGTGGGAGAAAGCTGAGGCATACATATGAAAGAATGGGTCTATGTGGTCAGTGTGCACAGTATAAAGAAAATCCTGCAGCACACAGTGCATAATGAGAAAAAAAAAACTGACCGTTTTTTTTTAATAAAACAGCGACTTTGCACTGTATTTTCGTATGGTATTTATTGTTGTTTTCTAGTTTTCTTGGTCTCATTTTATAGAATGGAAGACATATTATAGAAACTGAGATGATTTTGACTGGTTTTACAATGAAAAGTACCTTGAAATTGAGCTCAAAGTAGCAGAAATGTTTGATTTTTACCAAATTTCAAAAGTAAACAAATCATGCCAAGCGTCCAATACTTGTCAACTGGTGAGTCTAATATTCTTTTGTAAGTGCGCAAATATTATTTATACCATTTTTTACACTAATGCAGTAGTCTGCATAACAGTAAATCTTCTATTTTTTGCGAGAATAAAAATTCAAAGTGGAAAGCAAAAGAATGTAAGAGGGGCCTTGGGACGTGACTAATAACAGAGGAAATGTCATTTTAGTGCCAGGAATGTCTTTCTTGTTTATTCTGGACCCTATTCGGAAATTGGCATCTTTTGAAATTTGTGTGAAATTGGCAAAATTGCTAGATTCTGATCACTGTACTGGATAGTTGAAATTGGTAAATGGGTGGTGTCTTGCACTCATTTGATAGAAAAAATGGAGTTCTAGCGAAATATTCATGTTTTTTGTCAGCTAGTACAGTGGAATTGGCCGAAAATAGGGCTCAAAGTGGGCAAAATCACCGATGCGTAAACATCGCCGAGACCGCAAACTTCGTGAGAGCATAATTCCGTAAGTTTTCCATCAAATTTCATACTTTTGGTGTCATTACGATCGGGAAAAGATTCTATATCTTTTCACAAGAATTTTTTTTTTTTTTTTTTTAATTTGGCCGACCCTGAGAACAAGTCTCGGAGAGGGCCTGTCGACCCTCAAAGGGTTAAATCTAAACATAATCAGTGTCTTTAGATGAATAAAATAACAGATGATGCATGTGCATGTTTTGTGTACATAATATTTATGAACCAGGTTAATTCTTGTATAATGCAGTCTGTAACTGTAAACTACATGTTACATATCAGTCACCCATGAAATTGTAATAACAAGATTGAGAGCAATCCACAGAATGGGTGGGGTTTGAACCCATGGTAAGTATATTATTCGTCTGTATAACATTCATTTGTGGTCGTGGTGGTGATCCATGCTAACACCCTTACAGTGTGCAGAAATACACCTAATAAGATGAATATTATTAAAGCCAGCTGGCCCAGTGGTTAATGTACTGGCCTGTGAATTATAGGGCTCACTTGCCATGGATTCAAACTCCACCTGTTCTATGGTTTGCTTACACATCAGTGGAAAGTATGAATATTAACTAGGCACTTTTTATTCACTGAGTCAGAGCAGTAATTTGAGAGTAGGCTTTGTTTTAGTGTCTCCAGGATGTATTACCTCAGGTTCTCATCTTCAGTCTAAGAATTTAAACGTGAAAAGAGGCTGTGCTCATGCTATCATTAACTGTGCAAAATTTTCAAATTAAACATCTGCACTGCCTCCAGCCTCCTCCTCACTGTAACAGTTTAAAGCCCATTTCTCACACTCATATAAAAGAAGTTGGTACCAGTATAATCTGGTACATTTCCCTTTTTGCCAAAATAATCTTCTCTCCAGAAACACTTCAATGCTCAACTTACCTTTTTTTTTTTCACTGCCTAAACATTTTGTTTCTCTCATTACCTTGCTCTTTTCTATCTTCACTTTCTATTTATTTCTTTGCACACCCTCACTCATTTACCAACCTTGCAGTTTCTCTTTCAATCTCCTAAAGCAACTGTCATCAGCAAAGAGCAACTATGACAACTCCCACTTTGTATCAGATTTATTATCTATCAATCCCACGTCTCTGCCTAACACCCTAACATTTACTTCTTTACAAAATACATCTTGTAGATAAAATATTTTTATATACATGTATAGAGGAAAGACATGTTATTTATGCCAGACATGAATAATAAATTATGAAATTATAGAAGCAATAACCTTTGTATTTATTGAAAAAAAAAAAGAAAAAGGTTATTGCTTCCTATAATTTCATAATTTATTATTCATGTTTGGCATAAATAATAAGTCTTCTCTATATATAAAAATATTTTACCTACAAAATGTATTTTGTAAAGAAGTAAATGTTGGGGTGCTAGGCAGAGGCATGAGACTGACAGATAATAAATCTGATACAAAGTGGGAGTTGTCACAGTTCCTCTTTGCTTATGACAGCTGCTTTTTTATTTATATAGGGAATAACTGTTAATAGTTTTTCTATGTTAGTATAAGCCTTATATTAAATAATGAGCCTTGCCAACACTATGGGACTGGTTTGTATGAGTTTGTTTATGGATTCTGAATAAAAACCATTTTCAAGAATGTGAAAGGTGGGGGGGAGAAGTTTAAGCAACTCAAAGCTATTCAGATCAAGATTAAATTTTATTTTTAAGATAACCTAAAACTGTAGCCTTGATACGAGGAAAATGGAAAAATAAGAGGAAATTAGTAGAATAAGAGGAACTAGGAAGAAAAGAAACCAGATAGAATGATAGTAAATAAGTTGTATAATAGTAAATAGGTATAATAACAGGAACTAAGAAAGTTTTCAATGAAATTAATTGTGTAATGCAGTATGGTAGGAACACATAGTTAAACATTTGTTAGCAAAATATAACTATTGTTTAGAATAATGTTGCTGCACACTGTGGACATACTCAATTTTGTTTAAAAAATTCCATTAAGGTTACTTGACACAGGATGTAGGAACCATCAATCAGTATACAACAAATAAAATAATATTTATGACATATTATAAGTATGTATAATTATGAACATGCAAAAACTTATACACAGAAACTTGGCAAGATATGTGAGGACAACATACCTTGGATGGAGTGCCAGTTGCCATCACACAACATCCATGGCGATGGTGGGGTATACCTCGCTGTGATAACACCTTTTCCGTTATCGACACTAAGTTCAACGCTACCGTTGTTTAGCTGCAGAATCACAAAATCACGCCTGCCATGAACAGAGGCAATAACACCACTGTTTTTTCTGGGTTTTACATCTAATGTCATTTCAAACACTCTGCCCACACTGAATCGCTTGCCTGAAAAAAGACACATCGCATTTTGTATGCATACACAGTGTGAATTTACAAAAAAGAAATGGAATGAGCTGGACACTGATACAGTAGAACCTGAACCCATACAGGGGTTATAACAAATAAAAACAATAATTAATATCAGACAATCAGAAATCAATGGGATATGGGTGGGTGAGGATCAAGAGCTAGAGCTTACTTCATGTGGAGAAATTTTCTCCAGGAGGGGGTATCAGCCCCCTTCAGCCCATTTCAGCCCTGAGGGGCCCAGCCCTCTCAGAAGGGGCAAGCATCTTGTTTACTGCTACAGCAAGTAATTGATCCCAGATGCAGTACCAGTATTCGACGTGTGGTCAAGCGACCGACGCTCCTTGCAGTCCAGTGTTGCAAAGTGTATTTTTTTTTTTTTTACAAGGTTAAGGATCCCTAGCTTTATTGACAAGCTATTTACAGGTTAAGGATAAAAGACAGTCCATCTCTTACCTTGGCAGGACAATTAAGGAAAATCCTGCTCCCATTTTATTACCATGGTAAAGATAGTGTACATTGTTGTCTATGCTTAAGACAGCAAGAATCAAACATTCTGCTTTGCTTCATGGAGGAAGTGGCAAGGAAGCAAAAAGTACTAGGTCAGCTTTTCCTTTATGTGCTAGGGGCAGTGACGGTGGAGGACGCTGTGATTTCAGATTACTTTTGACTCTACTGAGAGTCACACTGACACCAGGATAACCAACAAAGAACATTGATCCGTGCATTAGTATGAATAAAGTGTCTCACAAAACACAATAAACACTTACAGAGAAGTGTGATCAGCTTCTTTAGTGATAAGATTGTGAACAATAAAGATAAATCTTGTGGAACATAGTGTACCAGTGTGCGTATTCCTAGACTATGGAAGACGTGGACATCCAAGGACACTTCAGCTTCTATCAAGTCACCGATACCTGTTGAGGGTGTGAAGAACACCATAGCTCACGCTACAAGAGCAAGGTGGGTTACAGATGTCTTGTAGTACGGGGGGACTGCGCAGTTCTTGAGTCGCAAGGAGTTTGTAATCAACCTATAGTCGGCAGTGAGGTGCGGACTTTTGAGTCCACACAAGTACGTAAGTCAGCCATCAGTGAATGAAATATGCTGACATAACACCCCCCTAGGGGTAATTTATTGTTTACATAATATAATTCATTTCAGCCCGTTGAAAAATGATCAAGACAGCTACTCAAGACCTCATCTGCAGGGGCAGCTGTGTGGACGAGAGCTGTCTTTCTAAGCTAAGTTTCCTTATATTTAAACTTTAAACTTAGCTGTTAAACCATTTCTCAACACTTCAATCCAAATCTCAAATTGATTGACACATCATCAATGGCTGACAGACATAAAAGAAGCCCAAAAATCCAGTACATAAGTGCAGATACAAGAAAAGGTGAAAACATGAAAACTCATGCAATAATGTAAACAAAAGTACAGTACTGATGAAGATAAAAGATGCAACACAGTATACCATTTGCAATTTGTGAATGATACAATAATCAGTGCAATGGACTACTATTTCATTGCTTCAAATGCTGGTACAAGACTAAGTGATCAGACTTAAAAAAAAAAAAAAAAAAAAAAAAAAAAAAAACGAAGTTTTTCATAAGGAAGTCTGTGATGATTCCTGGTTATTGTAAATGGACAGCTGCCCAAACTGGAAGAAGGAAGACCACACTAAGTAATGTAGGAAAAGTAATATGACTAGACAGTATATCAATGTGGATACTGAAAAGAAGAGAGTTAATGTTTATTATCCAAGATCTATTATACATCAGAGTAGGCAGGTGAGATACCAAACAGCTCTAAACTGAAGAAAAGACATAGAGTAGAGAACAGAGCAAGACGTCTCATCTCTCGCCTGGACCAATCCTAGATAGATCTGTCATTTCAGCAGAGCCTTCAACACAGTAGGGATGTGGGTGGCCTTACTGTTATATACAAGGACAATATTGTCAAAGTACCACACTTGGATCCACTTCGAGGACAGTGTGAAACAAGCTTTTATGCCACAAGACGGGCAGAAAGTAGCAACTTCACTCTAGCTGTACCCTTCTCCAGAACATCACTTCGTCTGAGATCATATACATGTACAGTGGACCCCCGGTTAACGATATTTTTTCACTCCAGAAGTATGTTCAGGTGCCAGTACTGACCGAATTTGTTCCCATAAGAAATATTGTGAAGTAGATTAGTCCATTTCAGACCCCCAAACATACACGTACAAACGCACTTACATAAATACACTTACATAATTGGTCGCATTCGGAGGTAATCATTATGCGGGGGTCCACTGTATAGCCAGGATGACTCGAGTGTGGAACACATTCATACAGCATAATGATGTCAACGAGATAAAGTCAGTTGATCAAATGAAACTGTTGGCCCACAGATGGCTCCAACTTCATCCTGTTCCCTACTTGTATGTCTCATAACAATAAAAATGCTTTCAAAAGAGTTGATGTAGGTAACAGCTCTTAGCTTGTCAATCAAGTTAGGAATCCTGAACCTGTAAATAGCTTGTCAATAAAGCTAGAGATCCTTAACCCTTTGACTGTTTCCGACGTATAAATACGTCTTACGAGCCAATGTTTCTGACGTATTTATACGCATAAATTCTAGCAGCTTCAAATCAAGCAGGAGAAAGCTGGTAGGCCCACATGTGAGAGAATGGGTCTCCATGGTCAGTGTGCACCATATAAAAAAAATCGGGGAGCCAGTGGTGCATTGTGGGAATGCCATTTCAGTTGTCCTTTTTCAGCATGTCTAGCGGTAAGAAATGTGATTCCCCAGCAAATCTGGGACTCTTCTCTTCCCAAGTGATGCTCTAACACAGATGGAAGTGTCAGTGAAGATCAATTTCATGATTTGGAGGAGTTTGAGACCAAAAGCAATGGAGGAGGAGGAGGGGGGAGGAGGGGAGGAAGAGGAGGAGGAGGAGGAGGAGGGAAGGAAGAGGAGGAGGAGGAGGAGGAGGAGGAGGAGGAGGAGGAGGAGGAGGAGGAGGAGGAGGAGGAGAAGGAGGAGGAGGAGGAGGAGGAAGAAGAAGATGTAATAATATTGTTCCCTTGAAGCAAGAAAAAAAAAAGTCCACCCCATGACAGTGACAAGATAAGGGGAGATAACATCTGATAAGAGCTGACTTTGATGAGGGTAAAGGAGGGTAATATTACATGACCATCGCCCTCCCTTTGTTTTTGCTGGTACACAAACATTTGTCTGTCTGTCTATTTGTCTGTCTGTCAAGCTCCCTGTCTGTCCATCTAGCTCTCTGTCTCAGAGAGAGCCACAAGACTGTGTCATCACGTTTACTCACATCTTCAAGCAGAGTATAGCACTTTGTCTGGATTTCTTGGGTTATCCTAGGTAATTTACACTATGATATACTTGTATTATGTGTACCTGTGAGACAGAGATAGGCAGACAGATAGAAAGAGAGACAGATTGAAAGATATAGAATGAGGGAGAAAGATAATTAGATAGAATGGAGGAGGGGAAGCAGCATCCGACCCCATTGTTTTGACAGGCAGTAGGGGTAGTGACTAATGAGACAATATGTCACTTTGACAGCTGCCGACTTCTGACTCAAAACAATTATAAGCCACACACTCCCACACAAGACAAGGAGGAGGAGAAGGAGGAGGAGGAGGAGGAGGAGGAGGAGGAGGAGGAGGAGGAGGAGGAGGAGGAGAAGGAGAAGGAGAAGGAGAAGGAGGAGGAGGAGAAGGAGGAGGAGGAGGAGGAGGAGGAGGAGGAGGAGGAGGAGGAGGAGAAGGCGAAGGAGGAGGAGAAGAAGGAGGAGGAGAAGGAGGAGAAGGAGGAGGAGGAGAAGGAGGAGGAGAAGGAGGAGAAGGAGAAGGAGAAGGAGGAAGGAGGAGGAGGAGGAGGGAGTGAGGAGGAGGAGAAGGAGGAGGAGGAGGAGGATGATTGTTTGTTTTTGTAAACAAGTTTTGTAAACAATATATTGATAATTATATTTGTGTGCTTATTGTGTTGTATACAACGAGTGTATATATGTACATTGCACCTTACTTTGGTCTCATAGGCCACATAAGTTATGTGAAAAAATAAAATAGTGAAAAAAACAAAAAACCTTCAATTACAAGTAAACTAAAGTTTACCGGGTGAGCGGCAGTCGCCGCTGTTGCCATACGCGGCTCATTTTCTGCAAACTTCAAGGCTCTATATCTTGGTAAGTACCGATGGCAAAATTTTTTTTTTTTGGACTAAAACACTCAGAAAAATAATCTTAACATTTTCATAAGAAAAAATAATTTTTTTTTTTTTGAATATTTGGCGACATAGAATGACAGTTTCAGAGAGGGGCCTGAAACAGTCAAAGGGTTAACCTGTAAATAGCTTGTCAATAAAGCTAGGGATCCTTAACCTTGTCAAACCCTGTGTGAAAAAAAAAAAAGGTACAGAGCATGCTTTCATAGTGATGTTTTGCTCTAAATAAAACTTTATCAACTTTGTAAGGCTCTACTTACACAGGGTAAAACACTGTTACAATAAAACCTTGCTCTGTACCTATCTTTTCTATGATACTGTTAACAGTACACCATTATATCCTCCCCTGCCCTAAAGATATATTGATAAACATACCCTCTAAGTAGAGAGGAGTACGAGTATTAAAAGGTGGAATTCACAGGAGAGAAAAAAGTTGGTCTGAATATATCATCATAATGCACAACTGAGGCATTGTGCTAAAAATCACTGTGGATCACAGAACCTCAGTAAAATGACCACCCCATGACACTGATAGATATGGCATTCACTGTCTCTAGGTTGAAGAGAGGATAAGAGGTATACATAATATATTAACCCTTTCATGGTCCAAGGCCAAAATCTGAAGTGGTGCTCCATTGTCCAAGAAATTTTTGAAAAAAAAAAAAAAAAAAAAAAAAAAAAATCTTACAGAATTAAAGAGTATATTTTTGTGAAGGTAATAAGACAAAAAAAAATTTCTGATCAGTACGTACCGAGATACAGTGCCAAGAAGTTTACCCAAAATGACCGGGTGGTGGCAACATCGACGATTTCCACATACGTGCATTACTTTATTTAACGTTTTTTGTAGTTTTTTCTTTTCTTTTCTAATTTTTTTCTTTTCCTACTAACATTTGGGGCCTGAGAGACCAATACTGTATATAATGTATATATATAAACTCACTTTACTGAACACAATAACCACACTAAAGTTATTATCATATTATTGTTTACCACTTTTGTTTATTACAATAAACATGCACAAATTTTGTATAATACTAATGTTCTATCATATATTTACATATTTACAATCACTGGACATGGTTTTAGAACTGCTGGAGCTTGTGGAACTCCTTGAAACAAGGCACCATGCACAGAGGTACCTTACATTCCTCGCACATAAACCGAGTGTCTTTGTGTCTTTGGTGCCGTCGTTTTGTTTGTGCACAGACAATGCATTGCTTCTGAGCAAATTTCTTCTGAGTTGAAGGAAGCTGTATTATGAAATGATCACCTTCCCTCCTCAAACGCTTGGGTATATCCTGAGGAATTCGAGGACCTTGTTTGTATAGCAGGTGTTGTTACCTGGTACTTCATTATGAGTTGTCTGACAACAGACAAACAAAATTCACCATACGGTGGTCTGTTGCCAGTCTTCATTTGGTACATATTATATGCATTGAGCATTGAAATGTCCATGAGATGGAAGAAAAGTTTCATGTACCACTTGTAACTCTTGCGAACACAATCAACAAAGCCAATCTGCATGTCACATTTGTCAACCAAGCGCATGTTTTGTGTATAATCAATCACTGTCACTGGTTTTCGAATATTTTCATTAGTCACTCGATCAACGTCACTCTCATCATTACTGAAGTCAGAGGCCTGGCCACGCGAAAATAATAGTTTTCTCTTGCGATGAGGTACAACTGACCGTGACTGAGGAGTGCCCACACTAGAGGTAGAAGGTTGAGGATTGTCAGGGTTTTCTGCGCTATTATCGATATCCTGGCCATTCCTTTCGGTCACTAACTGATCAAAGCCAAAGAATTCGTCTTCATTTCCACTTCCATCAGTGTCAGAACCATCAGATAGGAAGAGGAGGGTCCCAATTTTCCTTGGAGTGAGAGCTGCCTTGCAACGAGGCATGGTGAACAAAGGTAACTGAGCCGGCGTTCCCACAATGCTATGCGGGCGCCTAAAATTTTTGCTTACGACGCACACCCACCACGCAGACCCATTCTCTCACATGTAGGCCTATGAGCATTTTTGCACTAAATTTGACGCCGCTAGAATTTTGGCGTAGATCTACGGGACGGACCCTGAAAGGGTTAAAGACAAATGATGGTAAGTGTGCCAGTGAATTTGTCATCATCAGACACTTTTCCCCATTGCACTCATTTGAAGTGCAAAAAACTGTCAACCATTTAACCCTTTCAGGGTCCAGAGGCCAAATTTCAAAGTGCACACCAGTGTCCAAGAATTTTCAAAAAATAATTGTTATTTTTTTATGAAATGGTAGAGAATCTTTTTCTGAAGGTAATAAAACAAGAAGTACGAAATTTGATGGAAAATTGACGAAATTATGCTTTCACGAATTTTGATGTGTCAGTGATATTTATGCATTGGCGATTTTGCCGACTAACTCCCAATATAGGCCAATTACCTTATTCCAGTCAACCAAATTCTTAGCTATTTCACTAGTATTACTTCTATTCTATCGACTGAGCACAAGAAATCGCCAACTCAACTGTTTCAACTACAAAATAAAATACGTGATTGGAAATTGGTAATTTGGCCAATTTAGTGAAAAGTTCAAAATATTCCAATTTCAAAATAGGGTCCAGAATAAACAATGCAGGCATTCCTGGCACTAAACTAACATTTCCTCTGTTCATTAGTTACGTTTTCAGGCTTTACAAATGAATTCCATTTTGATTTTCAATTCACATAATGAATTTTTATTCAAACCAAAAAATAGAAATTTACTGTCATGAAATATTGTAATAATTGTATAAATAATATCACCACATTTGTGAATGTATATTAGACCCACCAGCTGACATGTATTAGACGTGTAAGGTCATTTGTTTACTCTTGAACATCGGCAAAAATTTAACATTTCTGCTACTTTGAGCTCAGTTTCCAATCATTTTCAGTACTAAAACCAATCAAAATCATCTCTATTTCTGTAATATGTCTTCCATTCTATAAATGAGACCAAGAAATCACAAATACAACTATAGAAAACCTACGAAAAAACACTGCAAAGTTACTGTTTTAATCGAAAATTACACTCTCAGTTTTTCTCTCATTATGCACTGTGTGCTGCAGGATTTGCATTATGTGGTGCACACATACCACATAGATGTATTCTCTCATATCTAGGCCCAAATTTACCGCTCACAGCTTATCAAAGTGAACTGAGCTCATGGTGTAGATCTACGGTTTGGACCCTCAACGTAAAGCCATAGATCTATGGCACAGACCCTGAAAGGGTTAATAAAGGTATAGTCTAGCAAGAAGACTATTTTGTTTGAATATTTCAGGCTATACAGGTGGTGAGAATATATTAAAAATAGAATAATGCAAGAGTCATTCTATCCAGATGAAAAAACTTTATCCAGTTACATAGCTAACAATCCCCTATTTTCCATTACATAAAGTTTTTTTCTGATTTGTCAGTTAATTAGTTTAACTCAACCAAATACAGTAACTTACCCTTCATGGGGTTGTGCCTTGATGCTGGTGAAAGGTATTGGAACTTTCTTAGATAAAACCTATTTACCCTCTATACTTCCTTTCCCTAAGTGCTGCATGACCCTAACAAATTTAGTTTTCTAATTTTTATTAAAATAATAATAATGTTACTATTATTGTTATTATTATTAATTACATTAATAATAGTATAAAAATTTAATTTTCTATTTAGATGTACAGGAAAGCCCCACATTTTCTGCACCCTCTTTTTTGGTGCTCCACACTTTTGGTGTTTTCCAATTTAACCACTGTTCATCATGTTCAGTGCTTTTTCCACTTTTCTGCAACTTTTGCACAACAATTGCATAAGAGAAGGGAAACCTGTGCCATATTGTAAGGCAAGTACTGCATATACTGTGTATTTATTTTAATTTTGCATTTTTTTTTATGCCTAACTGCACTGAGCACTTTAATATATAATAGTGTAAACATGTTATCAGGCATTCGATATAGAAAAAACTGCTCTTTTCCACCCGCAGGCGATTTTCACTTATCGGGTATGAGAACATAACAGCGGTAGAAATGGGGCCCTCCTATATAGCATTAGTCATCATTTACTCTTTTTATATATTTTTTATGTATATAATTACAGCACTTTTAGCTTGAATTTCTTTTCATTAGGTGTTCTATTAGCGCTAGAACAATATTATAAGCACTGTCAACTTTTTTCTATTTAAGCACTGCATGTTCAAATTATTCCTATAATTTAATGCTTTTCTGAGAATATAATAATAATTATTTACAACAAAACCTGCAGAATGCTTCAACTTACGCAATATAACATTAGCGCGAGGTCCATCCCCAAAGAATATGCCAGGTTCAACATTAGCAGAACAGCGGATAAGACCATAAGCATCGTGTGAACCGCCAACACGCTGGTTATTCAAGCGGAAGTTTCTCAGACATCCATTGAAAGAGAGCTCGGTACCTTCGGTATTTGGTCGGACCACATCTGCAACCTCAGCAGCAATACCACCATAGTACACAGGCTCCTGTTCACACATAAAACTCTCAGTTTTAATTTAAGCTCAAGCCAAGAGAGTGAATCAAATAGGAGAAAGAATATGAAGAAGAGACAGGTGAAGAGGAGCTTTCACTGTGAGAATAATAACAATAACAGCTTGTCTTGCACCTGTGTCTTCATTATTGTCAAGAGTAAATTTCTGTATCCATGAGAAATCATAAAATAAATTAAATATTAATCAAAAAGAACATTTTAGTTTCATTTTCTTAATGCACTATAAGCTTTCATAAAATGAAAAATACTTCAAACCTTTAGGTCAATGAATTTGGAATCTCCTTTGCCAGTGCCATTAGCAACCTGGAAACCATCAATAAAGAGCATTCCGTGCTCATCCCGTCGTTCCACTACTGCACTATGCCATGCACCATCATCGTAAGATTGTTCTGATCGCATCAGTGCAGCTCCAGTACCAGTGTTGAAACTGAAAACAATCTGTAAGCAAAAAATTAATAGTGAATTGTAATCATATTAACTGGTACAGGTGTCCCTGGCTTTATATAGTAAAGTACATGAATTTTAAGACCATAGAACTCAGGCCATCAACACTTAATTCCACATAAGAAAAAATACACATTGCAAACCACACCAATCACCTATGACAAATCTACATTACACACAGAATTACCAAAAGAAACTACACATCATATAACAAGTGAATTCACATAAAGTAAACCCATATATAGAAAAGGAAACTTGTATATTAATAATAAGTATTATACAACAAAATTCTGGTTTTTGCAATACAGCAGAAAAGGCTATGTGCATTCACTGAAAGTTTTAGATTGTTGCATTTGACAATCTATATGTTTTATGCTAAACATGATAAAGGTCACAATATCTGAACATGAAATTATTAAATATATTTTTAGCTTAGGAAGTTAGGGGTACATGTATGAGTACAGGAAGGCCCCGCTTTACGGCGTTTCACTTTACGGCGTTCCGCTAATACGGACATTTCAAATTATGACCAAAACTCGCTATACGGCTCCCCCCACCTGACTTTCTAATACGGTCACCGTGCCCCACCCTGTTTGTTTACATTCTCCATGAGCTCAGTAAGCACTAAGTCTCTCCATTTTGTCTGGAAACTCCAAAATTTCAAATGTTTTTAAAAGTTATTTCATATTTTATATATACTCTGATAATTATACTTATGTATACCTGTACCTAAATAAACTTACATACATCGAGTCATTTAAATGTCGTATATTACGTTAATATACACATTTTCATTAATCCATCCATGATATTTTTTTCAAAATTATATAATAAACACGATGCATAACATATAAATAAGATAAATACACCCCACAGTAGAATAAATAAACATAAATGTGAGATGTGGTAGCAGACGACTTGCACAAGTGACGCCATATTAGAAATGATAATAACAATACTCACCGAGTCTCATTAAATGTCGTATATTACGGTAATATACACATTTTCATTAATCCATCCATGATATTTTTTTCAAAATTATATAATAAACACGATGCATAACATATAAATAAGATAAATACACCCCACAGTAGAATAAATAAACATAAATGTGAGATGTGGTAGCAGACGACTTGCACAAGTGGTGATAATAACAATACTCGCCGAGTCTCATTAAATGTCGTATATTACGGTAATATACACATTTTCATTAATCCATCCATGATATTTTTTTCAAAATTATATAATAAACACGATGCATAACATATAAATAAGATAAATACACCCCACAGTAGAATAAATAAACATAAATGTGAGATGTGGTAGCAGACGACTTGCACAAGTGGTGATAATAACAATACTCGCCGAGTCTCATTAAATGTCGTATATTACGGTAATATACACATTTTCATTAATCCATCCATGATATTTTTTTCAAAATTATATAATAAACACGATGCATAACATATAAATAAGATAAATACACCCCACAGTAGAATAAATAAACATAAATGTGAGATGTGGTAGCAGACGACTTGCACAAGTGACGCCATAATAACAATACTCACCGAGTCTCATTAAATGTCGTATATTACGGTAATATACACATTTTCATTAATCCATCCATGATATTTTTTTTAAAAATTATATAATAAACACGATACATAACATAAAAAGATGATAAATACACCCCACAATAGAATAAATAAACATAAATATAAGATGTGGGAGCCTGGTTTGTTTACTCTGCGCCTGTCACCTCTCATGTACTCATTCTTTCTCTCTCTCATTTATTCGTTTTATCTCATTTACTTACTCCTGACCCTACATTAAGACTACAAATATTTTAAGGTAAGTAATGAGTGAACTGTATATACATTTTATCGCTCTGGGATGCTTAAATATCATAGAATAGTATGTGTGGGTGGGGTGGCCTGGTAAGGTAGCCTGGCTATTACAATACATACCACACTTGATTTCTTACAATAAATACTACTTGTCTCACCCTAGATTAAGACTATAAATATTTTAAGGTAAGTAATGAGTGCACTATGTGTGTATTGTACCTTTTTATTGTTTTTTGATGCCTGGTTCTATTGCTAACTTAATATATGTTAGTGTAAACTTGTTATCTAGTGTTTGTATGCATTTATAAGGGGAAAAAAAGGGTGTTCCACTTTACGGCGATTTCCACTTTACGGCGGTAGCCTGGAACCTAACCTGCCATATAAGTGGGGCCCTCCTGTATATAGTTTGTCTTGGTTCGACATAGGGACTGGGCTGAACAGATCATGTTTGAAAGGCCTTAATGTATTTTTTTTTTTTACTTTCTGAGATACTGTTCAACCACTCTTTCACTCTGTCAACTACATAAATTCCACTAGTGAACCCTACTCATGCACTGTATCTTGCGAAACTTCCAAATGGATTTCTAACTTGTCTTTTGTATAGAAATCTGTGTCTAACTTTTCCTTGGTAACACTTTTCATGTGTATTCATATGAACTTTAGAATATCTGTTATGGTATCACACTGTTTTATGTAAATACATTACTCTTATCTTGTTATGTAATCAATTTTATGTTTTTATCTTAACAACAGCCATCTCCCACTGATGAAGGGAGACCCAAAAAAGAAAAAACCTGAAGTTTCTCTTTATATATTTAGTAATATACACAGAAGGGATTACTAGCCCCTTGCTCCTGGCATTTTCGTCACCTTTGACAACATTCATAGCTTACAGAGGAAGGATTCTTCTCTACTTCCCCATGAAGATGAAAGGAAAATTAACAAGAACAAGAACTATTAAGAAAAAACTGACATGGGTGTGTATACATTCAATTTTATGCACCCTTGATATACCTTATACTTAGTTAAATTTTTATATTTTTTCATCTTTCTGTTTATTATTACTATTCTTTATAAAATTACTATATTTTTAGTACTGTTACAACCTTGTCATTGTACAATAATTATTTTTATTACCCTTATTATTAGAAGCATAAAATAATTTTAATTCTTCCTCATCATTAATTCCTTATTACATACTATATTATAGTCCACGAGTCTCAATGCTGATCCTCAAGTCTCCTCTCTGATCTTCATAATAATCAACTTACAACAGACTAAGTTTGCAAATATTATACAGTTAGCCAAACAAAAACTACCTTCAGAAACACCAAGAACATCTCAGTATTACATTGCAATGCTAGATCCCCAAGTAAATGATAGCAATACACTGCTAGAGTCACTAAACAACCCTTCCTCCTAATAACTATGTCACACTTTTACATAAGGTATGCTGCCCATTTCTAAGTTAGGTTAGGTCAGGTTAAGTTAGCCTAGGTTAGGTTAGGTTAAGTAAGGTAAGGTATGTTAAGGTAAGGTAGGGTTAAGTTAGATTGAGGAAGGTTAGCGTACAGAAAAACTGTAAATATGAGATAAAATACACTTAAACAGTCTGCAGTACATATAGAAAGCATACACATAATGTGCACAGCAGATGTAACTACAGTATATTGTTTATCAACTGTTCAAGGCACCATCAACAGCCACCAATTTGACTGCTTTTACAACAGTGCCATGTTGTCTATGGTCAAGACGACAAGCTGCACTAAATGCAAAACCTAACCTTCCTTATTCTTTTTGAAACTGGGCTAAAGCTTAATACTACAGACATTTAGAACTTACTTGGATACACAAATCTGATCAAAATGAGGTAAAACAGCAATCTACTACATAATGACATGAAATGTATTAGCTCAACATGTACCAGAGACAAACCTGAGGAATACATATTTGCACAATTTACAATAAAACCTTAAAAATACAGTCACAATTGGAGCTGTCTACACAGCACATGCAAATATAGCCAATTCTGGTGGTAATTTGAACCCTTTGAGGGTCCATCCTGTAGTTCTACAGCTTTGTAGCCAGGGTCCAAGCCGTAGTACTACGTCATGAGCTCAGTTCACTCAGATGAGCTGTGAGCAGTAAATTTGGGTCTAGATATGAGAGAATTCATCTATGTAATAAGTGTGCACCATATAAACAAATCCTGCAGCATGCAGTGCATAATGAGAAAAAACTGTGACTGTTTTTGGATTAACACAGCGAGTCTGTGGTGTATTTTCATATGGTTTTTACAGCTGTATTCATGAATTCTTGGTCTCATTTGATAGAATGGAAGATATATCAGAGAACTAGAGATGATGCTGATTGGTTTTAATACTCAAAATAGCTCGAAACTGAGCTCAAAGTAGCAGAAATGTTCGATTTTTGCCAATGTTTAAAAGTAAACAAATCACATCATATGTCCAATACACATCAGCTGGTGGGTCTCTTGAGCATTCACAAATGTACTGATATTATTTATACAATTATTACAATATTGCATAACAGTAAATCATCTATTTTTGGTGAGAATAAAAATTCTTTATGTGAATGAAAAATCAAAATGGAACTCATGTGTAAAACCTAGAAACATAACTAATAAACAGAGGAAATGTTATTTTAGTGCCAGGAATGCCCGCATTGTTTATTCTGGACCTTATTTTGAAACTGGAATATTTTGAACTTTGTGTGAAATTGGCCAAATTACCAGTTTCCAATCACTTTACTGGGTAGATGAAATAGTTAAGTGGGTGATTTCTTGTGCTCAGTAGATAAAATGGAAAACATACTAGCAAAATAGCTAAGAATTTGGTGTAGTGGAACAATGCAATTGGCCGAAAATAAGACACGTAAATATCACTGACAGAGCAAAATTCACAAAAGTGTAATTTCGTCAGTTTTCTAAAAAATTTCATACTATTTGCTTTATTACCTTCAGAAAAATACTCTACCCTTTCATATGGAGTTTTTTTTTTTAATTCTTGGACCCTGTGGGTTGGGGATCTGGACCCTTAAAGGGTTGAAAACAGTCATAAACATTTAAACAGATAAATATTGCTTAATAATTGAAGGAGTAAGGTGATGAGGGTATCAAATGATTTACATAAAGAAAAATTGGATGTCAAATTGGGGAGGAGGAGTATGAAAGAAGTGAATGTTTTCAGATACTTGGGAGTTGACATGTCGGCAGATGGATTTATGAAGGATGAGGTTAATCATAGAACTGATGAGAGAAAAAAGCTGAGTGGTGCATTGAGGTATATGTGGAGACAAAAAACATTATCTATGGAGGCAAAGAAGGGAATGTATGAAAGTATAGTAGTACCAACACTCTTATATAGGTGTGAAGCTTGGGTTGTGAATGCAGCAGCGAGGAGGCAGTTGGAGGCAGTGGAGATGTCCTGTCTAAGGGCAATGTGTGGTGTAAATATTATGCAGAAAATTCGGAGTGTGGAATTAGGGTTTTCGTCGTACTAGTACGTCTTACGCGTAGGGGTTTTTGACGTACTAGTACTCATAAATTCTAGTGGCCTCAAATCTAGTGGGAGAAAGCTGGTAGGCCTTCATATGCAAGAATGGGTCTATGTGGTCAGTGTGCACAGTCTAAAAAAAATCCTGCAGCACACAGTGCATAATGAGAAAAAAAAAAATTTGACCATTTTTTTTTAATAAATCAGCGACTTTGCAGTGTATTTTCGTATGGTATTTATTGTTGTATTCTAGTTTTCTTGGTCTCATTTTATAGAATGGAAGACATATTACAGAAATTGAGATGATTTTGACTGGTTTTACAAAGAAAGGTGCCTTGAAAATTGAGCTCAAAGTAGCAGAAATGTTCGATTTTTACCAAACTTCAAAAGTAAACAAATCGTGCCAAGCGTGCAATACACGTCAACTGGTGAGTCTAATATTCTTTCACAAGTACACCAATAATATTTATACCATTTTTTACTGTTATGCAGTAGTCTGTATAACAGTAAATCTTATATTTTTTGTGAAAATAAAAATTCAAAGTGGAAAGCAAAAGAATATAAGAGAGGCCTTGAGACATGACTAATGACTAGAGGAAAATGTCATTTTAGTGCCAGGAATGTCTTTCTTGTTTATTCTGGACCTATTCGGAAATTGGCATCTTTTGAAATTTGTGTGAAATGGCAAAATTGCTAAATTCTGACCACTGTACTGGATAGTTGAATTTCATAAATGAGTGGTTTCTTGCACCCATTCGATAGAAAAAATGGAAGTTCTAGCGAAATATTCATGTTTTTTGTCGACTAGTACAGTGAAATTGGCCGAAAATGGGGCTCAAAGTGGGCAAAATCGCCGATGCGTAAACATCGCCGAGACCGCTAACTTTGCGAGAGCATAATTCCGTAAGTTTTCTATCAAATTTCAAACTTTTGGTGTCTTTATGATCGGGAAAAGATTCTCTATCTTTTCATAAGAGAAAATAATTTTTTTTTTTTTTAAATTTGGCCGACCCTGAGAACGAGTTTCGGAGAGGGCCTGTCGACCCTCAAAGGGTTAATAAAAGTATTAGTCAGAGGGCTGAAGAGGGGTTGTTGAGGTGGTTTGGTCATTTAGAGAGAATGGATCAAAGTAGAATGAAATGGAAAACATTTAAATCTGTAGGGGAAGGAAGGCAGGGTAGGGGTTGTCCTCGAAAAGGTTGGAAGGAAGGGGTAAGAGAGGTTTGGTGGACGAGGGGCTTGGACTTCCAACAGGCGTGCATGAGCGTGTTAGATAAGAGTGAATGGAGACGAATGGTATTTGGGACCTGACGATCTGTTGGAGTGTGAGCAGGGTAATATTTAGTGAAGGGATTCAGGGAAACCGGTTATTTTTATATAGCCAGACTTGAGTCCTGGAAATGGGAAGTACAATGCCTGCAGTCTAAATGAGGGGTTTCAGGATATTAGCAGTTTGGAGGGATATGTTGTGTCTCTTTATACATATATGCTTCTAAACTGTTGTGTTCTGTGCACCTCTGCAAAAACAGTGATTATGTGTGAGTGAGGTGAAAGTGTTGAACGATGATGAAAGTATTTTCTTTTTGGGGATTTTCTTTCTTTTTCGGCCACCCTGCCTCGGTGGGAGACGGCTGACTTGTTAAAAAAAAAAAAAAAAGAATTGAAGGAGACTTAACCTGTATACGGTCCAAGCAGATCTACGTTCACATGTGTAGTGCTCCAAAAGTAGATCTACGTTTTTTTTTTACATATTTTCAAATATAACAAAAAAAAAAAGTACACCAAAGTTTTTTACACATTTTCAAATGTAAAAAAAAAAAAAGAAGATCTGCTTTTTTTACATACTTTCAAATGTTGAAAAAACGTATATATACGTTTGGACCATTTACGGGTTAATATCAACTTCATTCCATCAGAAGGCCAGCAAGTAGCTGGGTTCCTAAACATACATGTATATAACTGATTATGTATTAATATCTTAAAAACCAAACCTATGAAAATTACTGGGACAGCTGTATTTTCATTTGACTACATCTTGACAAATATAAGAGCTCCTCTAAAAACAAGCATTTTCACCAAAAACAGCTAATCATTACCCTCACGCACCAAGAGAACAGCCAAACTGACGCACAAATGGCCCCAGACGGCGGACAGACGTGTCCGAAAGGGCCAATTTCCGGGAGTCGAAAAACCGACCGATCACCGAGTTGGCCGATAACAGGAACGGCTGATAACCGAGGGTCTATTGTATACATAAGGATTGATGAGTGAATAGCATAGTGTGAGTAGGCTGATTGTAGTACGTAGTTATGTATTTTAGAGAGGATCCCAACTGTTTTGGATACTTTATTTGTTATTTGTTGGATATGGGTGTTGAATTTCAGGTTTGTGTCAAGGTGCAGGCCCAGGAATTTGCACTCATGTTTAGCAATATGAGTGTTGTTAATCGTTATGTTCAGCGGGGCAATACCTGTTCTATTCCCAAACATAATGTAGAAGGTTTCGTCAATATTAAGTGTAAGTTTATTAGCAGTCATCCAGGTCTATATTTTTACAAGCTCTTCATTAACAATAGTGTTGAGTGAGGCAAGAAATAGGATCACTAGAAAGAAATATAAATCTGGGGTGGAAGCTAGAAGGATCAGGAGTCATCCCAGGAAGGGCTGGAGGGAGAGGAGGGTGTGTGAAGAAGGTTTTGAGTAGTAAGGGCTTGAGCATCCAACAGGCATGTGTGAGCATTTGATCAGAATGGGTGTCTATAGGAATGTGGCTTCTGAATTCCAAAAACTTATCTAATGAATGATTTTCAGGAAAGCATAACCATAACAGCTGAGGAATTTAATGCATTTCTAAATAAAAATTATCAAATATTTTTCATATTTGAATGAAATTTTATATTTAAAACAACTAAATATGCCTGATAATATAAAAAATAATGCAAACCAGTTTATCATGTAACTTCTTAAGTAGCAATGCAATAGTGAAAGACAATACCAAGTGGGGGATTACTTTGTTATATATGCAGTTTAAATTTTTTTTGCACTGGGTACAAAATTAATGCATTAAATTCAGTAAAAAAAAAAAGTTCAGATACAAATTTAGTATAAGAGTTCAACTAAATAAAATCTCTAAAGACATTTTTAACCCTTTCAGGGTCCAAGGCCCAAATCTGGAGTCACGCACCAGTGTCCAAGAATTTAAAAAAAAAAAAATTGTTATTTTTTCTTATGAAATCGTAGAGAATCTTTTTGTGAAGGTAATAAAACAAAAAGTACGAAATTTGGTGGAAAATTGACGAAATTATGCCCTCGCGAATTTTGATGTGTCAGCGATATTTACGAATCGGCGATTTTGCCGACTTTGACTCCGATTTTAGGCCAATTACAATATTCCAATCAACCAAATTCTTAGCTATTTCACTAGTATTACTTCTATTCTATCGATTGAGCACAAGAAATCGCCAAGTCAACTGTTTCAACTACAAAATAAAGTGATCGGAAATTGTTAATTTGGCCAATTTAACACAAAGTTCAAAATATTCCAATTTCAAAATAGGGTCCAGAATGAACAATGTAGGCATTCCTGGCACTAAACAAACATTTCCTCTGTTCATTAGTTATGTTTTTAGGCTTTACAAATAATTCCATTTTGATTTTTTATTCACATAATGAATTTTTATTCACACCAAAAAATAGAAGATTTACTGTTATGCAATACTGTTATAATTTTTATAAATATCATCACCATATTTGTGAATGTATATTAGACCCACCAGCTGACGTGTATTAGACGTGTGAGGTCGTTTGTTTACTCGTGAATATCGGCAAAATTTTAACATTTCCGCTACTTTGAGCTCAGTTTCAAGCCATTTCCAATGCTAAAACCAATCAAAATCATCTCTATTTCTGTAATATGTCTTCCATTCTATCAAATGAGACCAAGAAATCCCAAATACAACTATAAAAAACATACGAAAAACACTGCAAAGTTGCTGTTTTAATCGAAAAATCATGATTTCATTTTTTTTCTCTCATTATACACAGTGTGCTGCAGGATCTGTTTTATGTAGTGCACACATACCACATAGATGTATTCTCTCATATCTAGGCCCAAATGTACCACTCACAGTTTATCAGAGTGAGCTGAGCTCATGGCGTAGATCTACGGTTTGGACCCTGAACGTAAAGCCGTAGATCTACGGGACGGACCCTGAAAGGGTTAACCATATACTAAATATGAAGTATAAAGCTGTACATTACCTTGCCATCTTTAAGATAGAAGGTGATATAGTCACGATGAGTTTTGCCTGAAGCATAGAAGATAATACCCTCATCAGCTGTAGTCTTGAAGTCGAAGGAAAACTTAAAGTCGGCACGTGTGCTCCCTGGCAAGGCATTGAACTGAATACGGCTGTTACGTTTGCTACCTGTAAAATATTGGAGGATTTGTGGTCTATAGTTTATATGAAATACAAGAAAACAAATGTACAATTAATTTCTTTATATATTTGCTATAACTTAAACTATACAAATAAATTTTTTGATTTAGTTTCTTAACATTCCTCTTAAAAAAATATACAACTGTAACTGAAGAATACAAATAAACACAGCAATGTCTCAGTCCATCTACTGCTGTTAACAGTATTATAAAGATTAACATTAAATGAAACGTCAAATTTTATTAATCTGAATTCAACAAGATCATTCTCACACTCAGAGCCGAGTATCAACTCGAAAATGCTAAATGCAAGCACCGTGATATATTTGAACAGGACACATACGTGTGTAGGTTTTAAACATACAGGTTGTAACATACATCGCTTCATGAAATACAACAATATGTGAATTTCAGATGAGAAGACATCGGCAAACAATAACAATCAGCACACAATCATTGACGCCTTCAACCTATGACATTCACAAAGACAAAACATGGCTGCAAGTCTGTGTTAGCATACCAGTTGCAAACTGCTGACAGTCATTAAGAAATGCTGGTGGAGAGCAAGCTCTTGCAACAATATTTAGGTCTATTTGGATCTTTATGAAGTGATTTATTAAAGCTATTCATAAAGCAAACTATTGGAACACAAAAAGCTTAATCTGCATCTATTTATTTGTATCAAAATAATGCTAAGTATTGACTGGGTTACCCATGAGTGAAGCAGTTAGTTTATGTGCATTATAGTTAATAATAATAATAAGAATACCATTATTATATTATACTGTATTATTATTATTATTATTATATTATTAATATTATTAATTATATTATTGTTATTAATTATTATTATTACAATTATTAATTACTAATGCTTTATAACTAAGATAATTCTCATTATTTTACTTAGTCTTACATTAAAATAATGAGAAATATTTTGCTAAACAGTATAATTAAAATACCTTAAGAGAAAAAGTTGAAATGCAAAATTGCTTTAAATGGTAAACAGGAAAGCAAGGCAGAGTGCTGGCTGAGAGGTATTATGTGAGTAGCCAGGAAGGTGTAGCATAGCAGGCAAAGTGAGCAAGATAATAAAAATATGCCCCAAAACTCTACTCCAAGTATTGTAGTTTTTATTTTCATAGATTATGTTACCATTTTTGTATTTAACACAGCAACAATGTCACCATCTTTGTCATTCACATAGCAAACTAAAATTCAATACACACAAAGAATATTTTGAATACTATTTTCAAAGCAGTGTGCATTCTCTCAGTAATGTAGTATTATATACAGCAAACATCCCTATTTTGTACTACTCCCTGATCTATCCATACCACCTATAGCATTTATGGATATGGATCAACAAGAGTAAATCACCTGAATCCCATTGCTACAGAGTAGAAATCAGCTCTTAGAATAATCACTCATTTGGGTTTAAATTTGTTTAACTAACAAAAATATTCAAACGTACTACTGTGTGCACTATGTATACAGGACATTCAGTACAAACATTAACCCAGAACTTAAACTCTTCCTGGCGAGCTACAACAAAACCCACAGAAACAATATAAGGGACAAGTATTACTCTGATACATTATCACATGTATGACTCAACCTGTTCAGAAACTCCATGAGAATGAAAGACCCAAAAATTATGGATCACACTGCCTAAAAGTGCCACAAGTTCCTTATCTAACAACAACTTTAATGACACTTTTTAAAAATAACTGTTAAATTTTTTTAAAGGTTTTATTCAAGATATGCCTGTAATATGTGTTCAATATTGTCACCACTATACTACTACTCAAAAAAATTAAAGGCATATAATTGATGTGATACAAATTTACTGCAAATTATCTGTATTTGCCCAAAATTGGGAAGTATGGTGCCTGCACTCTGAAGGAGGGGTGTTAATGTTGCAATTTTATAACTGTAGCATAGGCATGCCTCTGGCAAGACAGTGATGGAGTGAATGATGAAAGTTTTTCTTGTTCGGGCCACCCTGCCTTGGTAGGAAACGGCCGATGTGTTAATAAAATAATAAATAAATAATTGCCTAAAATATGCTATGACTAGAATTAAGTACTATGTTAAGTTCTAGGATTAGTTTGCTCAAAATCTATGCATAATAAGTGGCTTTCTGTTGGCATTCAATTTAATCAAACTGCCTTTTTTTACTGTAACTGTATCAAAACTATAATCAAATGTACCATAAACTTCTATATATGTCCAACAAGAAATTATTTTTAGTAAATGCTAGGGCGTTCGTAAGAGGGGTGGGATTAAATTTTGGGGAATCACATTCAAAATGGGAAGTGGCACAATTACTTTCTGCTGTGCTTATGGAAGATTCTAAAGAAAAATTGCTAAGGTTAGTGGACGAATTTGGGAGTGTGTGTAAAGGTAGAAAGTTGAAAGTGAACATTGAAAAGAGTAAGGTGATGAGGGTATCAAATGATTTAGATAAAGAAAAATTGGATATCAAATTGGGGAGGAGGAGTATGGAAGAAGTGAATGTTTTCAGATATTTGGGAGTTGACATATTAGCGGATGGATTTATGAAGGATGAGGTTAATCATAGAATTGATTAAGGAAAAAAGGAGAGTGGTGCATTGAGGAGGTACATGTGGAGGCAAAAAATGTTATCTATGGAGGCAAAGAAGGGAATGTATGAAAGTATAGTAGTACCAACACTCTTATATGGGTGTGGAGCTTGGGTTGTGAATGCAGCAGTGAGGAGGTGGTTGGAGGTGGTGGAGATGTCCTGTCTAAGGGCAATGTGTGGTGTAAATATTATGCAGAAAATCTGGAGTGTGGAAATTAGGAGAAGGTGTGGAGTTAATAAAAGCAATAGTTAGAGGGCTGAAGAGGGTTTGTTGAGGTGGTTTGGTCATTTAGAGAGAATGGATCAAAGTAGAATGACATGGAGAGCGTATAAATCTGTAGGGGAAGGAAGGCGGGGTAGGGGTTATCCTCGAAAAGGTTGGAGGGAGGGGATAAAGGAAGTGTTGTGGGCGAAGGGTTTGGACTTCCAGCAAGCGTGCATGAGCGTGTTAGATAGGAGTGAATGGAGACGAATGGTATTTGGGACCTGACAAGCTGTTGGAGTGTGAACAGGGAAATTTTTAGTGAAGGGATTCAGGGAAACCAGTTATTTTATATAACTGGACTTGAGTCCTGGAAATGGGAAGTACAATGCCTGCACTCTAAAGGAGGGGTTTGGGATATTGGCAGTTTGGAGGGATATATTGTGTATTTTTATGCATATATACTTCTAAACTGTTGTATTCTGGGCACCTCTGCAAAAACAGTGATTATGTGTGAGTGAGGTGAAAGTGTTGAATGATGATAAAAGTATTTTCTTTTTGGGGATTTTCTTTCTTTTTGGGTCACCCTGCCTCAGTGGGAAAAAAAAAAACCATCTTTGCTATGTATATAGCATCAAACATGAATGTTATGGAAAAACACCTGCCCAGAGTAATGGCCTCTGGTGCTTGTAGTCATTGTGTTTTAAAACCACTGAATACACAGGCTATGAGCTATTATCCTATCTCAGCTCTTTTCAAGCCCAGCCCTAAGTAACCCATGATAGTAAACTATTTACTAATAGGTAAAAAAGGCCAGAAAGTGTAAGGAGACTTGCATGTAGTTTATACTACTAGTGACTGAAGTTGGGTCTTTTGGGTGCAAGTGAAAGGAACTACCACTGAGCTATAACCCACCTTAACACTGAAGTTGGAATTTTGTCGCCATATTTAATATAAAATTCAGTACCATAAACCTTGATGTTTCTGATGAGATTTTTAATCATGTATTGAAAACGTGGCCAAGTATCAGCAAGGAAAGTTTTGCACTGATTTTGGGTTGTGCACATTGTAAACTGACAATTTTATTAAACTAATTCAGCTTGTCAGTTCCCTGAACCATTCATCTAAATTCCTGTCAGACAGCAACATCTTGGGATTTTAATACAGGGAATTCTTCACTTGCCTAACCTTTAGGCATGATCTACTTCTTCATTCGGATTTGTCAAATGTGATACCACCTATGACTGCTGCACCTCACCTGCCTACAGTATATAAGCCCCTTTTTTTTTATTTATTAACACATCGGCAGACTCCCACCAAGGCAGGGTGGCCTGAAAAAGAAAAACTTTCATCATTCACTCCATCACTGTCTTGCCAGAGGGATGCTTTACACTCCAGTTAGAAAACTGCAACATTAACACCCCTCCATCAGAGTGTAGACACTGTACTTCCCATCTCCAGAACTCAAGTCCGGCCTGCCGCTTTCCCTGAATCCCTTCATAAATGTTACTTCGCTCACACTCCAACAGCATGTCAAGTATTAAAAACCATTTGTCTCCATTCACTCCTATCAAATACGCTCATGCACACTTGCTGGAAGTCCAAGCCCCTCACACACAAAACCTCCTTTACCCCCTCCCTCCAACCCTTCCTAGGCCGACCCCTTCCTTGCCTTCCCCTTACTACAGATTTATACACTCTCTAAGTTTACCTGGAGTTTACCTGGAGAGAGTTTCGGGGGTCAACGCCCCCGCGGCCCGGTCTGTGACCAGGCCTCCTGGTGGATCAGCGCCTGATCAACCAGGCTGTTGCTGCTGGCTGCACGCAAACCAACGTACGAGCCACAGCCCGGCTGATCAGGAACTGACTTTAGGTGCTTGTCCAGTGCCAGCTTGAAGACTGTTTTGTTCCATTCTCTCTACGTGTCTGAACCACCTCAACAATCCCTCCTTAGCCCTCTGGATAATAGTTTTGGTAATCCCACACATTCTCCTAATTTCCAAACTACGAATTCTCTGCATTATATTCACACCACACATTGCCCTCAGACATGACATCTCCACTGCCTCCAGCCTTCTCCTCGTTGCAACATTCATCACCCATGCTTCACACCCATACAAGAGTGTTGGTACAACTATACTCTCATACATTTCCCTCTTTGCTTCTACAGACAAAGTTCTTTGTCTCCACAGACTCCTAAGTGCACCACTCACCCTTTTCCTGTCATCAATTCTGTGATTCACCTCATCCTTCATAGACTCATCTGCTGACACGTCCACTCCTAAATATCTGAATACATTCACCTCCTCCATATTCTGTCCCTCTAATCTGATATCCAATCTTTCATCACCTAATCTTTTCGTTATCCTCATAACCTTACTCTTTCCTATATTCACTTTTAATTTTCTTCTTATACATACCCTACCAAATTCATCCACCAACCTCTGTGACTTCTCTTCAGAATCTCCAAAAAGCACCGTGTCATAAGCAAAGAGCAACTCTGACAACTCCCACTTTGTGTTTGAATCTTTATCTTTTAACTCCACGCCTCTTGCCAAGACCCTCGCATTCACTTCTCTTACAACCCCATCTATAAATATATTGAACAACCACGGTGACATTACACATCCTTGTCTAAGGCCTACTTTTACTGGGAAATAATCTTCCTCTCTCCTACATACTCTAACCTGAGCCTCACTATCCTCGTAAAAACTCTTCACTGCTTTCAGTAACCTACCTCCTATACCATACACCTGCAACATCTGCCACATTGCCCCCCTATCCACCCTGTCATATGCCACTTCTTTGCACATATTCTTTTCAAGATTGATGGACTGATTATATAGACTCAAACTGAGGGACTGATTACCTCAAACTCCTCTTGTTCTTCACCATTCTCCTTTGTATGGACTGATTAAGCCACTGTGTGGCGAAACGTTTCCTCAATGGGGATACCCAAGTGTTGCACGTGTCTAATTTATTAACTTGTCGGTTCTCTGAACCATTCATCTACTTTATGATTTTGTTATTCACTGACAAGGTGTACAGTCAATAGAGATCACTGGAGTGAACACAGTATATAGGTATGAGAAGTGCCAAAGTGGGTGAAGGAATGCAGCAGCCCAGAAGGAAACAGTTGTTTGCTTGACCATAATGGTGCATCATGTGCATAAGACAAATTGCCAAGGATTTGGTTAATTGAAAACTCCCTCTGTTCTAGATAACAGGGTTAGAAGTCATGATAAGAGTAGATATCAGTGATGGATTCTTCTGTTATAATGAAGTCCAACACAATCCCAGCTCAGCAAGCAGTCTTGTGCCTTATACAAGACCAAAAGACTGCCCCAGTGTCATACCTGCTACTCAAGAGCAATCACCATAAATTCCTATTTAGTCTTAATAAACACTAGGAGCCAGCCTATGAGTATCCCACCTGCCAACATTTGTGGCTTAATTGCTAATATTAGTGTGCATGTGCACAGTTTTGTCAGATTTACATTTTTTATTTCCTTCCAAGTTTACAATGTGGTTGACATATTGTAGGATGTATATATGCATAGGAAGTTTACAATGAGGGTTTACAATGATTTGTAGTGCAAAGAGCCACTATCATGCCTTGGCATTACGGGCAGTCTAAACTTAACAGATTACTGGTTACTTAATACTAGACGTACAAAACATAGTTTGATCAGGTTACACTAATTATACAATAGGTTATACTTATATCAAATACAGTGGTACCTCAAGTTACGAACTTAATTCATTCCAGAAGGCTGTTCGATTGCCAATACTGAACAAATTTGTTCCCAAAAGGAATAATGTAAATTAGATTAGTTGGTTTCAGACCCCCAAAAATACATTTACAAAAGCACTTACAAAAATACACATACATAATTGTTCTAGTTGGGAGCTGTTCTACACTCGAGGAACTGCTATATATGTTAGCCAACATTTGCAATTAAGTATTTGCGTTAAAATATGAGAATTTATTGTACTCTGAGCATTTACTTTTGGGGTTCTGAGGCTAGGGGAATAACACAGTGAGCAATTATAATTTGAGGCAGTGGAGAGTGATTTGGTAGCTTTGTTGGTAAGGTTGGGTATTGAGTATTTAGTTATGGGTGAACAGGTGGCTTTTAAGATGAGTCTTGAATTGATTTACTGACAGGGTTCCTTTGGTATTCACCGGCAACGAATTCCAGATTTTTAGGCCCTTTATGTTTATAGAGTTTTTACATAGTGCGAAATGGACACAAAGAACATCAAAGAGTGATCTGTGTCTTGTGTTATGGTCATGTGTCCTGTTAAGGTTGGTAAGGAGAATTTTAAGTGGAGGGTTTATATTTGAGTGTAATGTTCTATGTATGTAGTAGGCACAATAATAGGTATGGATGTTCTCTATGGTGAGTAAGTTAACCCTTAAACTGTCCAAACGTAGATCTACGTTTGCATGCGTAGTGCTCTGAACGTAGATCTACGTTTTCTTTACATAAGAAATAATGTAAAATCGAACATTGATCTACGTTCAGAGCGCTACACGTGTGAACTTAGATCTACGTTTGGATAGTTTAAGGGTTAATGTTCATCGCAATATGATCGCCTTCACTGAGACATTTTTGAACAACAGACCTCCAGAGAATTATGCTTCAATTGGTGGCTACACCACATGGATGTGATGAGACAAGTGAGGTCATAGAAGCTGCATTAACATGTACTTTAGTAAAAGTATACATGCCTATCCCATTGCTCCTGTCACCTCTTTACACTAACAAGCTCCTCTCCTAGTTCCCATATATTGTGTTCACCACAGTGATTTCTATCGACTTTAAAAAGTATGCTAAGCAAAATGCTATCATTATTACTAAAATTTCCTGAACTGCACTTGGAATCTTGGTTTATATTAATTAATTTTTTAAGTCCACTGTATCTTCATGGATAAATGGATGAATAAAAATAACAATGACTCATCCAAGTTGAATTTTTTTTTTAGGCTACACTTTAAAGAAAATATTCTACGCATTGTAATAATGATAACAAAATGTCAATGTATCACCAATTTTCTTCCTAAAATTGTACTTAAAATAACTTACGAGCCTGAATATTATCTAGGCTCTGGAGTCACTCTTACACTTAGATAGCAAGACATTTCAGATCAGTGCTGTTCACAAATGAAGAATTAAGTACTGATGACCTGAGATTACAAGCTGCCATGAGCCTGGACTGCATTTGCTGCACAAAGTCAGGAACACTTGCAATCCCTATGTTTTCTGTATTTGATTAGAAAGACCTTCGACTCTTTTTATGGTTGGGGAGCGATGTTCAAGTTTACTAAACTTGATGATACTCTGTCACAATTACCATATCACTCATTTCTTAAATAATAAGATCATGTCAGAATAAACTTAGCTATGTTTGTGTTGGAATGTGTGTGAATGAGAAAGGGAAACAAGTCAATTTAAGGATGCAATAGATGTTACAGTAAACACAGTTCACACCAAGTCTCATTGCAGCGATAAAAGTCCTGTATATAATTTTCATCACCTTGTGAATTTTAGATTATACTGTACATGCATATTACAAAACGCACATGAAAGTATTTTAATTCGTGCATATGCACAATTTAAAAAAAAAACATTCTAAAGTTAAAGAATGTCAAGGCAACTCAGGTTATTAGCAAAGTAATCAGTCAACAAATATGTTCATCTGAATTCCATTTGTCCTAAAATAACTCATTTCAAGGCAGTGCTACTAGACCACTCACCAAAGCCATAGCCGCTAGAGTAGTCTTCATCTAGGGAGTGAAAATGTTTAAAGAAAAATTTTATACATAGCGATATACTCTTTTAAAATTTGACATTAGGTATCATTTTAGATATATATTTAAAGAACAATTTTCATGGTAATGAAAAAATCACAGGACATCAATTACTTTACTCATAATTTTTTCCAGTTCAGTAAAATATTCAGTGGCTTGATGCAAAAATTGTGTGATTAAATATGAATTAGAATATCATTTGAGGGCATAAGTAATTATTGCTCACTGCAGTAATACTAGCGATGAATATGCCATTATAATTCCCTTTATAATTACATTTTAATACCCACTATGTTAGTCACATTTATTACCAAGTTTATACTCTATGCTGTACTTACCCACAGTAGTGGCCTTGCTTAAGAATTAATAAAAACTAAAATTAGGAAAAGCCAAAAACAATAAATCACAAGATGTACAGAAGAGCATTTCATTCCAATAACATAAAAAATTTTGGTATTAAAAAGATTTTCTAAATTACTCATAATATTTTTTCATTACCATGCAAATTTCACCATCAAATTAACACACAACTTGTACACCCCAATCCTAATAACAGCTCCAAAAATATATCTTCTATGTGACAACTGTAATTTTTAATACAATAAAACCCCTCAAGTGACACTAAACAAGGGGATTTTGTTTAAAGATGATTGAATAAGTGAATTCTTTTTTGCACACTTCATAAGTGTGGAAGAATCAGACTACACAGTCTTGGTATCCAAGCTGTAGATTACCCCTTACTCCCCTACCCTAGTTGGGCCTAAGGGTGGAGTGTGTGGAGAGGCACAGCTCCTCTCCTTACCCGTGCCACCTGTAGTTGCTTTTTCCAGCATCACCTGCCTTATTGTGTTTACCAAATAATTTTTAATATTTTCATTACCCACATCTTATGCTTATATATTAACCATGGCACCAAAAGAAATACAATACAGCAAACTCTCTCTCATTAATGAACTAAAGGGGGAGGGGTGTACAATAATGGTGATTGTCCGAAACTTCTGAATTAAGAAATTAACTTTTTATGATAGTCTGGTTGCCTTCTGAGCTAATAAACTTGGTAACTGCTGTTACAGAAAATAACTGGACACTACTGATACTGGTACTGTGACCTGTAGTACTACAGTACACCACTCTACTCTAGTAATTTATAGTACTGTACATAATTTACAGTAATTTTATTTACCTTTTCGTGGATGAGAGATGAAGTATAAAATGCCATGATGGATGGTGGTGACTCAGTATAATTTTTATTCTGAGAGGCTGTAAAGCTCTACCAGTGAAAATAACATTGATAGCTGAGAAGACAGATAGCTGAGAATAGGAAGATGTTGAAAAAGTAATAAGTTTAAAGAATGTGTCCAGCTTCATTTGTTTGCCACATTGATGGTGGTCCCTTATGACACATTCTCTAAGAATTCATAAGTGTGGATAATGGGCCTTCACTTCGCTTTTGTCAAAGGTCAGTGTACTTGATGAGAACAAGAATACAACTCGTACAACTGACAGTTCTGGAGGCCTTTCAATCTCTTCATCATTATCACTACTCTATTCTTCTGTGCTATGAGACTGCACTGCAATTTCTTCAGCATTCAACATCTGGTAACCAGGATAACCATCATTTTCTTCTAGCCATGCCAACACATCTTTCTCTGTAACTTCTGTTTCTCCTGCCCTCTAAAGGGTACATGAAAATCAGTGGCCTCAAACCCCTCAAAGTTCAACTCAGTACCAAGGTTATATATAAAAAAAAAATCAAACTATTCGTTAATGTTGTTCTTTTAAGTTCCTTCCATGATGCTTCAAGGTTAAAGATGGCAGACTTCAGGTTATACTTTTTGATGTTCTCCAACATCTCTTTCCAAATCTTCATCCTCAGTCATTACTGGTACTTCATCATTGTACCTAGACTGGTACAGTCTAGGTACAAGGCTGTACAGGCTGTAATAACTCCCTGATCCACTGGTTGGATTGGGGAAGTGGTATAGAGGGGCCAGAAACATGGCCCTAATTTTACCATACATGCTGCTTAACTTTTTAGTTCTTGGGTGAGCAGGTACATTATCAAGCAGCAGAATAGCTTTGACATCCTTGGGATCTAGCTTTAGAATCTCTAGCTGGTACTTGTGTACTTCAGGTATGAAATATGTTAAAAACCAGTCACCAAATACATCCCTGTTAACTCAACATTATTTTACCCTTGTAATAATTTACCAGCAACTCATTCACACAATCCTTTAATGCATGATGCCATGCTGATTTGCCTGTGACTGTCAATTTTAAATGGTGAGAACCATCAGCATTAGCACAACATATTACTGAGAAGTGGTCTGTATTGAGCTTAGGGCCTGATATTCTTTCTTCATGCTGAAAGGCATGTTGGAAGGCAGTGAACTCCAAAAGAGACCAGTCTCATCAGCATTATACAGCTGAGATAGGAGCTTCTCACTATCTATCCGATCAATTAACATTAATCTGAATGGCTCAACTTTGTCTGTGGGTGCACTCCCAGCCTCACCAAAAGTCTTCATGTTTCTCAAGCCATAACAGTTACAGAAGCATCAAAGGCAACCATCACTTGCTTGAAACTCTGTGTTCATATGCTCTGAGGCCTATAAACAGAAGAGTGAAGATCAACACTAAGAACATTAACACATTAATCAGATGGATGCTTATGAAGGACTCATGATTAAGAATTTAGAGCCACCCTTTCCTTTCATGGATCACAACTGATTACCTTCAATTCTTCAAGTGTTGTATGACTTCTACAAGTCTGGCACTTCCCAAGAATAATAATAATACACGTAATAATAATAATAATCTACACACTAATAATTCTCTCTTATATTCCTCATGGTCTTTGATGTTTCCAAAATCCTTCTCATTGCCACTCATTATTTTGCCAATACAAAAATATTATTTCCCCAACAATTGAACATGCATATATCTTGAAGACTATTTAATAAATGCAGCAATTCAACATTTCCATGATACTGGTAAGTTGTCATTACTCCACAATTATATCTAAAAAGAGCAGACAGGCAAGCTATCGATATGGTTGTTTTATCTTGATTCAAGCCTGAGCTTGTATGAAGCCTCCTCCCTGGTAATCCCCCTACCCCAGCAGCTACTCTTGGGTCTAATTCCTCTAGCACCACATTAATAAATTTAAAATAACCTAGTATAGTAAAACCATGATTTAACAAACCCTTATATAACAGGTTTTGGAATTAATAGACAAGAGTCCGTGGCTAAACAACATCAGGAAACAACAGGCAAAATCTATTTAATCTGGAAATATTCATTAGTGTTACAGTTTACTGGGTAAATTGATTTTGTATTTAATGGACAAAGACCCTTAAATTCAATGTAGTCCACTATTATGATTATGGCAAAACAATCTCATTCAAATTTAAGGGACAATTGCAAAGACACACCTTCTTCCCCCTCTTAGTCTGTTAAATCAAAGTTTCATTATATAGTACTACATATCTTAATTAGTCACCATCACATTAATTAATACAGGTGTTTCACTGGTAATGGATAATTACCGTAAGAACTTTGCATATGCAAACATAAAGCAACATAAAATATATTATTCCTCACCAAATCTAAATCCTTCAGTGGTAGGCACTTCCTCCTGAGCAGGTTCTACAGGCAAGGCACACCCATCACTTAAAAATGTCTGTGACACTTCTGCACGGACTTCCTCTGTTAAGAAAAATAAAGCAATCTTTTTAATATATGATAAGTATAACATTCCTAGGTAGTAGGTTGGTAGACAACAACCGCCCAGGGAGGTACTACCGTCCTGCCAAGTGAGTGTAAAACGAAAGCCTGTAATTATTTTACATGATGGTAGGATTGCTGGTGTCCTTTTTTCTGTCTCATAAACATGCAAGATTTCAGGTACGTCTTGCTACTTCTACTTACACTTAGGTCACACTACACATACATGTACAAGCATATATATACATGAATACCCCTCTGGGTTTTCTTCTATTTTCTTTCTAGTTCTTGTTCTTGTTTATTTCTTCTTATCTCCATGGGGAAGTGGAACAGAATTCTTCCTCCATAAGCCATGTGTGTTGTAAGAGGCGACTAAAATGCCAGAAGCAAGGGGCTAGTAACCCCTTCTCCTGTGTATATTACTAAATGTAAAACGAGAAACTTTCGTTTTTTCCTTTTGGACCACCCTGCCTCGGTGGGATATGGCCGGTGTGTTGAAAGAAAAGAAGTATAACATTATAAATAGCATGTTCACTATATGTATTCTATATATACACACGGAGAGAGAAAAATGAAATAACAGATCAGGAGCTATATATTTCAACCTGCAACTGAGACCCTCTTCAATTGTAGAAGACCTCCGGCTTATGGATGATGCTCTGGTTAGAAGAGAGGAATAAGGGACTTCAAGTACTATTATTACTATTCTTATTATTCTTATTCTTATTATTATTATTATTGCTGTTGTTGTTATTTTGTATTTGGGAGGATTTGGAGCGTTTGCCTCCCTTTGGTGCAGTCACTGCTCAGTCAGAACTGTCATATGTAAATATACCTATAAGATAAAGTAAATATACCTGGTTGGTCTTGTAGTACTACGGCTTTGAAGCCTGAGTCAGTTCCATAGTTCTACGCCATGAGTTCAGGTCACTCAGATAAGCTGTAAGTTTTAAATTTGGGCCGTGATATGAAAAAATGGGTCTATGCAGTAAGTATGCACCATATAAAATATCCTACAGCAAGCAGTGCATAATGGAAAAAACTGCGACCCTGATTTTAGTTTACAATAGTGAATTTGCGGTGTATTTTTGTATGGTTTTTATTGTTGTATTCTTGGTTTCTTAGTCTCATATGACAGAATGGAAGATATATTACAGAAATAGAGATAATTTTGATTGGTTTCAGGACTGAAAGTAGCTTGAAATTGAGCTCAAAGTAGCAGAAATGTTTGATTTTTGCCAACATTCCAGAGTAAACAAATTACAGTGGACCCTCGACCAACGATGGATCGTCTAACGTTAAATCCGACTAGTGATACATTTTAACGCAAAAATTTTGCCTCGACTAGCGCTAAAAAACTCGACTAACACAATTCATTCCGTCTGAGACACGTCCACTTGTGGCCAGTGTTTACAAGCCAGCCAGCCACCGCGGTCCCATCCAAACATACAATCGGAACATTTCATATTATCACAGCGTTTTTAGTGATTGCACCTGCAAAATGAAGTCACCATGGGCCCCAAGAAAGCTTCTAGTGCCAACCCTACAGCAAAAAGGGTGAGAATTACTATGGATATGGAGAAAGAGATCATTGCTAAGTATGAAAGTGGAGTGTGTCTCCGACCTGGCCAGGTTGTACACAAAACCCCAATCAACCATTGCTACTATTGTGGCCAAGAAAACGGCAATCAAGGAAGCTGTTCTTGCCAAAGGTGCAACTATGTTTTTGAAACTGAGATCGCAAGTACTCGAATATGTTGAGAGGCTGTTATTGGTGTGGATAAACGAAAAACAGATAGCAGGAGATAGCATCTCTCAAGCGATCATATATGAAAAGGCTAGGAAGTTGCATGATGATTTAATTATAAAAAATGCCTGCAACTAGTGGTGATGTGAGTGAATTTAAGGCCAGCAAAGGTTGGTTTGAGAGATTTAAGAATCGTAGTGGCATACATAGTGTGATAAGGCATGGTGAGGCTGCCAGTTTGGACCAATAAGCAGCTGAAAAATATGTGCAGGAATTCAAGGAGTACATAGACAGTGAAGAATTGAAACCTGAACAAGTGTTTAATTGTGACACTGACAATGCTGTGAAACACTTTAGGAATGTCATAAAGGAACGGGAGGTACAGGCCTCTATGGACAGATATGTTGTGCGACAGAGGTCCAGTGACTCTCAAGCTGGTCCTAGTGGCATTAAAAGAAGAAGGGAAGCAACCCCGGAAAAGGACTTGCCACCTCAAGTCCTAATGGAAGGGGATTCCCCTTCTAAACACTAACACCCTCCACAGTCTCCCCTCCTCCCATCCCATCAATCATCACCAGATCTTCAATAAAGGTAAGTATCATGTAACTGTACATGTCTTCTTCAGTTTGTGTGTATTAAAATTAATATTTCATGTGGTATAAATTTTTTTTTTTCAATACTTTTGGGTGTCTTACACGGATTAATTTGATTTCCATTATTTCTTTCGATTAACGATGAGCTCTCAGGAACGGATTAATATCGTTGGTGGAGGGTCCACTGTACGTCACTTGTTAAAAATGTATCCAACTGGTTAGCCTAATGTGTCCATAAATGCAGTGACATTATTTATACAATTTTTACAATAATGCAGTAGTCTTCGTAACAGTAAATCTTTTATTTTTTATATTAATAAACTTTCAAAATGGAAAGCAAGCATAATATAGCAGAGGCCTGACAACATTACTAGTGAACAAAGGAAACGTTTTTTTTTAGTGTCAGGAATTCTACACTGTTTATTCTAGATCCTATTTTGAAATTGTAAATTTTTTAATTCTGTGTGAAATTGGCCAAATTACTATCAATTTCTGATCACTTTACTGGGTAGTTGAATTAGGTACAGGGGCTGTTTCTTGTACTCAGTTGACAGAATAGAAGAAATAATAGTGAAATAGCTACAAATTTGGTTGACTAGAACAGTGGAACTGGCTGAAAATAGGGCTCAAGGTGGGCAAAATCACTGATGCATAAATATCGCCGAGACTGCTAACTTTGCAAGAGCGAAATTCCGTTAAATTTTTCATCAAATTTAATGCTCTTGGTTTTATTACCTTCAAAAAAAGATTCTCCATCATTTCACAATTTTATTTTTAAATTCAGAGCAAATTTCAGATCAGGATTTCCAACCCTCAAAGCGTCGGAAATGAAAAAGAAACTATTTAGAAACTAACGTTGACTGTAGTATTATTCTGTGTCTGGAAGACATAATACAGTGGACCCCCGGTTAACGATATTTTTTCACTCCAGAAGTGTGTTCAGGTGCCAGTACTGACCGAATTTGTTCCCATAAGAAATATTGTGAAGTAGATTAGTCCATTTCAGACCCCTAAACATACACGTACAAACGCACTTACATAAATACACTTACATAATTGGTCGCATTCGGAGGTAATCGTTATGCGGGGGTCCACTGTACTATCAATGTCTAAGGTCTGCATTATATACTACTGTAAATGATGGTGTAAGCAAAAAAAATGATGGTGTAAGCAAAAAAATTTGTTTTCTAATTAATAACACAATTATATTTTATAAAAAATGCAAACCTGAAGCCTATTTTTTTAAATAAAGAATGTATAGTAAGAGAAGCAAAATCTTGTCACTTGGATTTATTATGGGTAATATTTTACAATATTCAATAACTGTTAAGACAGCTATTAAGTGAATGATGGTGAATATGTTTCCTTCTTTAGATAATCCTACATTGGCAGGAAATATCCAACGTGTTAATAAAAATAAATTAAGTACGTATATACCTCTGTAATCTGTAAATACCTTTGTAACTTGTCATGATTGTGACCAGATCTACCAGGAGTTCATTGCCTTTGTAACTTGCTCAGCTATCAAAACTCTGGGGCCCAGTCCCTGGACCCATTATGTACCTCTGTAATCTTCTGACTACCGCCCATAGGATGGGTATGGGGTGCATAATAAATATATTAAACTAACTACGTACACTGAAAACCAAATAATTAACATATTAATGAACAGAGTTGAACAATACTACTCTATAATATAACATGCAATTCTTGTGAGTGAATGATTGAATAAAAATGGTAGTGTTCACACAGGTAATACAAAAATAACATTTAAAAACTTATTAGAGAGCTAAGGGTCAGCGGAAGTGAGTCATTAAAACATGGCGTATATATAAAACTATGTAGAATAAACAAACTCAACTTATAATACTTACATTTACAACTTTTATTACAAAAGTAACAGCTAGAATGTATTCCTGGGTACATAATGGACTGCCAGCTTTTAAAGAAGAATTAATATGTAAATAATGTACAGTAATTATGTATTTCTAACTACAGAAGAAGAGTTAAGTTCATGGAGTCCTATCTTCAATATTCAATCTATGATAAAACCTTCCAGTGACTGTAGTACTTACTCCCCTCTCTTGTAAACCATTATATATATATACAGTGGTACCTTGGGATACGAACACCTCAAAACTCGAACAATTATGTAAGTGTATTTATGTAAATGCTTTTGTAAGTGTATTTTTGGGGGTCTGAAATGAATTAATCTAATTTACATTATTCCTTTAGGGAACAAATTCATTCAGTATCAGCATTCAAACAGCCTCCTGGAACGAAGTAAGTTCGTATCCCGAGGTCCCACTGTGTGTGTGTATATATGCATGAGCGTGTTCGATAGGAGTGATTGGAGATGAATGGTATTTGGGACCTGACGATCTGTTGTAATGTGAGCAGGGTAATATTTAGTGAAGGGATTCAGGGAAACCGGTTATTTTTATATAGCCAGACTTGAGTCCTGGAATTGGGAAGTACAATGCCTGCACTCTAAAGGAGGGGTTTGGGATGTTGGCAGTTTGGAGGGATATATTGTGTATTTTTATATGTATATGCTTCTAAACTGTTGTGTTCTGAGCACCTCTGCAAAAACAGTGATGATGTGTGAGTGAGGTGAAAGTGTTGAATGATGATGAAAGTAT